GCATAGTAAAGGCTGGCATGGTGTTTAATGTTACACTTGGTTTCCAGAACTTGAAGCCAACAGATAAATTGCAGAGTTCTGCAGGTAAAACGAAGAACCAAAACTTCTCATTATTGATTGCTGATACAGTTATCGTAGGCAAAGAGAAAACGGAAGTTTTGACTGCTCAAAGCTCGAAAAGTGTCAAAGACATAGCATATTCATTTAATGAGGATGAGGAGGAAGAAGATAAGTCCAAGGTAAAAACTGAAACTAAAGGAAAAGAGGCAGTAGTTTCAAAGACGACTCTAAGGTCAGATAATCATGAGATCTCAAAGGAGGAGCTTCGCAGGCAGCATCAGGCTGAACTTGCCCGTCAGAAGAATGAAGAAACAGCAAGGAGACTAGCTGGTGTCGGAAATGGAGCTGGAGATAATCGTTCTTCTATGAGAACTGCAGCAGACTTGGTTGCTTATAAGAGCGTGAATGATTTGCCATCTCAGAGAGATCTGATGATTCATATTGATCAGAAGAATGAAACTGTACTATTGCCTATTTATGGTAGCATGGTTCCATTCCATGTTGCTACTATAAGGACTGTCTCTAGTCAGCAGGATACCAACCGCACTTGTTATATTAGAATAATTTTCAATGTTCCCGGGACTCCTTTCAGTCCTCACGATGCAAATTCATTGAAATTCCAGGGATCTATCTACTTGAAGGAGGTTTCATTCCGCTCCAAAGACCCAAGACACATCAGTGAAGTAGTACAGCTAATTAAAACATTGCGGAGACAGGTTGTTGCTAGGGAGTCTGAGAGAGCAGAAAGGGCAACATTGGTTACACAGGAGAAGCTCCAGTTAGCTGGTAATCGTTTCAAGCCAATTAGGTTGCCGGAGCTTTGGATTCGCCCTCCTTTTGGTGGACGTGGCAGGAAGTTACCCGGGACTCTAGAAGCACATTTGAATGGATTTCGTTATGCTACCACTAGGTCAGAGGAACGGGTAGACATTATGTTTGGCAATGTCAAGCATGCATTTTTTCAGCCAGCAGAGAATGAAATGATCACTCTGCTTCATTTTCATCTGCACAACCATATAATGGTGGGGAATAAGAAAACCAAAGATGTACAGTTCTACGTTGAGGTGATGGATGTTGTCCAGACCATAGGAGGTGGAAAGAGATCAGCCTACGACCCAGATGAGATCGAGGAAGAGCAAAGGGAGAGGGACAGGAAGAATAAAATAAACATGGACTTTCAGAGTTTTGTAAACCGTGTCAATGATCTTTGGGGCCAGCCCCAATTCAATGGTCTTGACCTTGAGTTTGATCAGCCTCTGAGGGAGCTTGGATTTCATGGAGTTCCTTATAAATCTTCTGCATTTATTGTCCCGACCTCAACCTGCCTGGTTGAACTGATAGAAACTCCTTTTCTTGTTGTCACTCTCGGTGAAATTGAAATAGTAAATCTAGAGAGAGTTGGCTTTGGTCAGAAGAATTTTGACATGACAATTGTGTTTAAAGACTTCAAGCGAGATGTTCTTCGCATTGATTCTATCCCTTCCACGTCACTGGATGGTATCAAGGAATGGCTTGACACAACAGACATTAAATATTATGAAAGTAAGCTGAATTTGAACTGGCGACAGATTCTTAAGACGATAACTGATGATCCACAGAGCTTCATTGATGATGGTGGATGGGAATTCTTGAATTTAGAAGCTACTGACTCTGAATCTGACCACTCTGGGGAGTCAGACAAGGGGTATGAGCCATCAGATGTTGAGCCTGAATCTGACTCCGAAGATGATGATTCTGATAGTGCATCATTAGTGGAGTCGGAGGATGAGGAAGAAGAAGATTCTGACGGTGATTCGGAGGAGGAGCAAGGGAAGACATGGGAGGAGTTGGAGAGGGAAGCAAGCAATGCAGACAGGGAAAAGGGAGATGAATCGGACAGTGAAGAAGAGAGAAAGCGAAGAAAGATGAAAACTTTTGGGAAGTTTCGAGCTGGACCTAGTGGTAATGTCCCCAAGCGGCCGAAGATTAGGTGAATTCCATTGGACACCATTGTTTTATCTTAATATAATGTGGTTTTTGTGGATCAGATTTAGTTCTAGTTCTTTAGCAAGATCTGCCTTATGTTATTCAGCTGTCCAACTTTGGTTGCAATATAATCCTTGAGCTGTTCGGTAAAGAGTGTTATGATCGTTTCGTAGTATGATGTTTAATTAGGAACATTCTCTGCTTGTAAATGTTTAGCATAGCTTTCATCCATTTTCGACAGATTGACAAGAAGCTGATGTGCCATCTGCTGGTTAAGTCTGTAGCGTTCACAAAAAGCAGACTTTTATCTGGTTTAGTTTTTTAGTTGGTAATGTAGTTGTGCTGTTCCTCTTGAAAAAGTTCCGTTCCATGTAGAATCGCCATTACATTTTTGGTAGTACACTTGGCGGAGGAGCTCTTCTATCTCATCTGCCTCTTTACTTCTGCTTGTTACGCTTTCTTTTTTCCCTTTGTTACTGAACGGTCTGAATGATCTGTTATTAGAGCGTCGTTCCTCCCTTAATGTTCCCAAGTTTTGAAATCTCAAGTATTCGGCATTACATTCTGATTTCTGGTGACCGATTTTTTAAGAGATTGTGTAGGCTGTTTAGTAATGTTCATTAATATTTTGGTTGCTTTCAATTAAGATTGAATTTATTTGCCCCTTACTTTTTAAATTTTCTATCAATGTTTCCTAAGTAGAAAATGTTTCCTAAGTTTTAAGGAAAATATAGGAGTGATTAAAATGAAAAGGTCAGAAATTAGTAGCATGAGATCTCACGTCTGAACAAAACATTTTTTATATGAGCGTAGAAATCTCTCTCTAGATACATTTTAAAATCATGAGACTAACGGAGATGCGTAACGGATTAAAACGGACAATATCTGTTAGCCCAAGATTAACTACAAATTCTTCGGTTCCCAATATCTGTTAAAACGGACAAACATTTTGAATCTTATTTGAACGGATTCTTTGGTTTCCAATCCAAATTTAGAAGACCCGTTGTTGTTGAGACGGTAAACGCTTCCTTTCCAAAAGAATGTATAATGTAATGTGAAAGAGAAGATAGGATTTCTGACAAAGGAAGGGAAAAAGAATGGTTAGAAACTCCATTTTGTCTCCCCAAACGCAACGCTATTCAGACAAACAAGGCACGGTTTGTTTCAACTTTCAACGCCTTTTCTCACCCTCTTACTTCCACATGCTCTTCTTTTCTTTTTTTTTCTTTTTTTTTTTTTTTTGTGACATTGAAATTTCTGCCACACAACATTCATAATTATTGTCTTTCCCACAACATTTTTCTACACTTTTACCCTTTTTATTTTTTATTGGTAGGCTAAGTGTACATCAAACCCAATCAAACACAGCAATATTAGAGAAACTTTATTAGAGAATGTTTGGTTTGGTAAACGTAGGGACCCTTCTTTATGTCAATAAACGATTTAAAATGCTGACATATCACTTAACAAATAGTTCGTATTATAAGGTAAGCACACTATATGGGTGTCCACGAGTAGGTCAACTATGCATCTTTCCAAGTAGGTCGAGCTATTATTTGGTAAAGATAGTCAAGTATTAAATAGCTAATAAGGAGTTTGGTCTCATTTTTTGATAATATCATGCGCAATTAATGCAAAACAAACTCTTTGTCTAATTTAGTAATGGATAAGTCTACTCCATCTCAATACATTAAGTCATTATTTAGTAAAGATAGTGATAAACTATCATAAGCTATGTTGAGTTAATAACTAAATTATATATATATACATGAGCTTTCAAGTAGTCCCATCTAAATATCAATCAAACTTTTATTCCATAGGGAGAGAGGCAACTACCCTTAATGGACCACAATTTCCTTTAATATTTGACAAGCTGTATTAGTGTTATTATTTATTTTTTTCTTCACATGCCATGATTGGTTGTAAGTTGAGCAAAAAGTAATTTAGTTGGTTAAATATCTACTTCCACGAAACTCTATTCTATTAAACACGTATTACTATATCAAAAGTGAAAGTTGAATCATCGACTTTTGAGATGATAATTGATGTCTTATCTACTGAACTATGTTCAAACGGACAATTATTGGAGTTGATTAGAATATGTATTTTCGATTAAACGATTAAATTATGTTCGAGCAACCCACTCCACATGTTATTCAACTCAAATATATTATACATATACACATGTACCGTCATCTAATTTAACCCGATCTAATATTTTACTAAATTTTGAGTTTACAAAGGGACAAAACTTGTAATTTTATTAACATTTGGTTTATAAAAAAGTAATGGTTCCTTCACCTACCGGTTGCCTCTCATTGGAGACCTTGGAAGCTTTCTTCACCAACCTTGATTATAAGTTAGAACCTAAAAGATGTGGCTTAGAAATAGCAGCTTTTATCATTCAAATAAAGTACGGATTTTTGTCTAATAGTTGCAAATTACAAAACCCAATAATTCTATGTGGAAGAAAAGAAAAAAATGGTTTTTATATTGAATGGATAATTAAAGTGATTAAGGAAGAAAAGTAGGCTTAATTCAAAAAATGTGGATTTTTTAAGGTAAGCAAGAAAGAAAAGGGAGAATTCCCATGTAAAGCAACTAAGAAGACAGATCTTTCCTTTGGAATAAGGAAGAAAGATGGCATTTTTTTTGTATTATGGTCATAAAAATGGGCCTTTTATTGTCTTAAAAGCTCATATATTGTCTTCCATTTACATCAATAGAGGCAGAAAAACGTCTCGGTCAATCCTAGAAATCATGGACCCATGGCAATGAGGCAATGAGGTAATGAAAACCCTTTTAATCAATTAGTATTTGCTTTGTAAGTTTCGCTGAATTCTTTAACATTAACAGTAAAATATGTTTGTATATATATATATATATAATCCTCCAAAAGAGGCCAAAATTATGTATCCACATGGCCTAGCTGGACAAAAACGGATAGCTACCATCAAAGAAAAAAAAAAAGAAACGGATAGCTGTTACTTCCAAGCTTCTAAATTTGTGAGTAAACTGAGGAATTGTTCTTCATTTAATCCAGATTATGATCTGGGTCAACTGCGTTACTGTTGGGGCCATGTTTAAAGATGCTTAAGGAACAAAATACTAGAAAGTAATGAGTGTGTTTCAAGGCAAAGGTCCCCACATGTGCATCTGGAAAATGGTCTCTTTCTCTCAGAGCTGCCATTAATTGTAAACCGGCGTTGGTTTCTTCAATTTCAGTATCTCTCAACCCCCGCTTGGCTCAGGCTGGCTTTATGGCAAATGGGTCTCGCGTGGACATTGCTTTCAGCATTACTCTTAGTCGTAACGCAACGAGTAACGCCTTCCTGCCCTTTTCTTTAATCACTGGTATGAGTGGTTTTTTGTTTTGGTCCTTTCTTCCTCGTTGGCGTTTGGATTTTGGAATCTTCTAGGTGAGTTTGGGAGGCTGGAAGAAAGAAGAAACCATAAACTTCTTCTTCTTCTTCTTCGAACATCTGGTTGGTTTTAGGTCTAAACTTGAGGGGGTTGAACTAATTTTCTGTCCTGATTTGCTTAAATCTGTTTTTGAGGTTCTGGGTGTTCATGTTTTCTGGGTGTTGGTGTATTTTGGTGATGTTGGAGGCTGGAGGTTCTGTTCTAGTGAACTCAGGACTCAATTTGTAAAGGGATTTGCCCATTTTTTTCTCTATATTGATAGATTGTAGCCGTTTCTTCTTGAAGTTTTACAGTGTTTTACTAGTTTAAAACAATACCCAGAAACCAGTCAACGAACTGCATTGCCGCTGGTTTTGGAAATTTGAGCTTTGGGTTTTTCTAAGGTTCTCTGCTGATTTCAGTCTTAACGAGAAACTGGGCCGAGGATTGCTTCAGTTTCTGCTAATACAAGCCTTTTACAGTAGCTACCAAGGTAATGTGGGGGCTTTTTATGGCCTCTGTTCAGGAGGTTCTGTGTTGCTTGATGGATACTTCGAAGTTTAGCTAGGTAGTGTTTTGATGCCCTTGCATTCAAGTTTTTTTCTCCTTTTTTTTCAGTGGAAAGATGGCTTGCGTGAAGCTAGGATCCAAAACTGATGCTTTCCAGAGGCAAGGACAAGCCTGGTATGGACCCTGAAATTTAAACTCTTTACATTTCTTTCCTGCATCAGATATTGGTTCTGTAACTTGCAGAGAGTTCTTGTAACGGCCAGGTACACCGCCAGTAGATATTGTCCTCTTTGGACTTTCCCTCAAGGTTTTAAAACGCGCTTGCTAGTAAAAGGTTTCCACACCCTTATAAAAGAAGGTTTCCACACCCTTATAAAAGAAGGTTTCCATACCTTTATAAACAAGGTTTCTACAGTTCTCTTCATCTATCTCAATGAAGTAGGTAGTGATATAATTAGGTGCTTTCAACTCGCACCAACCTGCTCTAGAAAAATTTAACAAACTTTTGATAGTTTCTCTTAGGATTCACCAACTATGCCTGTACATGTCGGTTGTTCTGGGATTTGTTCCTTCATTGTTCATAGCTAAGATGAAAAGTTTAAATTCAAGAAATATAGGCTTGTTTTAGGGTCGTGTCTGAATCTGGCACCTGTCGACTTCGCTAATACAGAACTCGTCGGGAGCAGAATGAATAAGGGGAAACCTTCGTACTTGACTTATGCTTTTTGTTAATGGCTGCAGGTTCTGCACTAGTGGATTGCCTAGTGATGTTATTGTTGAAGTTGGAGAGATGTCATTCCATCTACACAAGGTATTTGTGTTAAATTTGAATCATTCTATTTTTTAAAAAAATAATTCTAAAGAAGAATCTTGGAGAATCCTCCCTCCCCTTATGTTTGGAGCTGTTTGGGACAACTTATGTAAATATTAATTGTTGTCATTGAAGTGGAACAGTTTTCCCAACCTAAAATGTTATAGGTTATGAAGGTTGTAAGATATTAATGTCCTGACCTCTTAGGCGTTTAGGTTCAGGGATTGACTGCTCGACTTATATCCTCGATTACTACCTTGGTACAAGCATAGTTCTAGAACAAAATATCTATACATGATAGGGGAGTTAATGTAACAACCCAAGACCACCGCTAGCAGATATTGTCTGCTTTGGTCTGTTTTGTATCGCCCTCAGTCTCATGGTTTTAAAACACATCTACTAGGGAGAGGTTTTCACACCCTTATCAAGAATGTTTCGTTCCCCTCTCGAACTGATGCGGGATCTCACAATCCACTACTCTTGGGGACCAGCGTCCTCGCTGGCACACCGCCCGATGTTTGACTCTGATACCATTTGTAACAGCCAAAACTACCGCTAGTAGATATTGTCCGCTATGGCCCGTTACATATTGCCATCAGCCTCACGGTTTTTAAAACATGTCTATTAGGGAGAGTTTCCACACTCTTATCAGAGAATGTTTTGTTCCCCTCTCCAACCGATGTGGGATCTTACAGTTAACCTCCTCAAGGACTTGGCTCAGTGGCTGACATCTTTGAATACCGAGTTATAGTTTTAAACCTGTTATCTTTGAGCTGCTGCCTCAGTTTATGAATATTTCACAAGTTTTCTGATTATAAAGGATTGTAATGTTAGAAGATAGCCTTGCTTATTAGAAAAGTATGTATTATGCATATGCTTCATTCATTAAAATTCTTTACTTTTCATGACTGCAGTTCCCTCTGCTATCCAGAAGTGGGGTTATGGAAAGAATGATTGCTGAAGCACCTGAAGAACAGGAGGAAGGAGGTGTAATAACTATTCCCGACATTCCGGGGGGTGCTAAAACATTTGAACTGGTCGCCAAGTTTTGCTACGGAGTGAAACTTGAACTTACAGCCTCAAATGTTGTCTACCTCCGATATGCCGCCGAACGTCTAGAAATGACTGAGGAGTATGGGGAGGGTAATCTCATTTATCAGACTGAGGCCTTCCTGAATCAAGTTGTCCTCAAAAGCTGGAAGGACTCTCTGATGGCACTACAGACCTGTGATGATGCTCTCTTCCATACAGATGAGCTCCATATTACTAGAAGGTGTATCGAGTCACTAGCTATTAAGGCGTGCACTGACCCAAGTTTATTCGGGTGGCCAATTATAGAGCACGGAGGACCCATGCAAAGTCCTGGTGGCAGTGTTTTGTGGAATGGCATAAGTACCGGAGCGAGGCCGAAAAATTCAAGTCTAGATTGGTGGTATGAGGATGCAGCGACCTTGAGCTTGCCTCTCTACACGAGGTTAATTTCTGTCATGGAATCACGTGGTATCAAACAGGAAATTATTGCAGGGTCTGTCACTTCCTATGCTAAAAGGTACATTCCTGGTCTAAATCGACGTCAAGGTCCTAGTGAAGCGAGTAGTCGGCTGGCACCGGTGGCTTTGGGGATGCCACCCTCAGAGGACGAACAAAAACTTTTACTAGAAGAAATTGATAGGATGCTTCCAATGCAGAAGAGCCTAGTTCCAACTAAGTTTCTTTTTGGTTTATTGCGGACATCCATGATTCTTCGAGTTAATCCCTCGTGTATCTCGAACTTAGAGAAAAGGATCGGGATGCAGCTCGATCAAGCCACTTTAGAAGATCTTTTGATGCCCAATTTCTCCTACTCCATGGAGACTCTTTACAATGTTGATTGTATACAAAGGATTCTTGAGCACTTCCTAGCAGTGGATCAATTCAATGAGGGAGGTGCCTCTCCATGTTCTATTGATGATGAACAACTGATAGGGTCACCCTCTTTGCCACCGATTACCATGGTCGCTAAACTGATAGATGGATACCTTGCAGAAGTAGCTCCCGATGTTAATTTGAAGCTTCCCAAGTTTCAAGCTCTTGCTGCTGCAGTTCCTGATTACGCTAGACCTTTGGATGATGGCCTTTATCGTGCTATAGATATATATCTGAAGGTATGGATTCTCTTATGTTAGCAGTTGAATTGCATATTACTATACAGCTGCTAGTCATATTGATGTCTAACTTGGTTGGCTGCATCATTTGGAAGAAATTTTTTGGTCAAATTTTTAATGTTGCCTGATGTTGTATGCTTCTTGATTTACTTGGCTCTTTTTTCTTATCCGAATCCGCTTAAAATGTTACTTGTTGTCATACATTCTGAAGTGTTCGTGTGAGATCCCACATTGGTTGGGAAGGAGAATGAAACACTCTTTATGAGGGTGTGGAAACCTCTCCTAGCATCTTCGTTTTAAAAACCGTGAGGGGAAACCCGAAAGGGAAATCCCAAATTACCAGTCGTCTTTATCGTTCAAGTTTTTCTAAAGGAGGCCATAAAAGCAATCATATCTCAAATCTCAACCCCTTGAAAATTCCTTCTTTAATCTCTATGTCAAATATCCCAAGAACAAAAATTGAGTACCTAAGCAAGCTTGAGGTTTGGTTATGTTCCTACTCTCTGATACCACACCTGTTTCTTCATTGTTCATGAGCAAGTTACTAGTTTAATTTCTGACTAAAAAAGAACCTGACCGCTGTAACTTGTTTTAATTTTATGCACTGAAGCAGGAATAAGCTTAAAATTTGGCTATGGCTTGATAATGTATGCTAATTTTTTCGAATGTTGTTAATCTGCAGTCACACCCATGGCTGGGAGAATCCGACCGAGAACAGCTATGTCGATTGATGGACTGCCAGAAGCTTTCTTTAGAAGCTTGTACCCATGCTGCACAGAACGAGAGACTGCCCCTTAGAATCATTGTTCAAGTACTCTTTTTTGAGCAGCTTCAGCTCAGGACCTCAATTGCCGGCTGTTTTTTGGTTTCAGACAATCTTGATGGATCCAGACAGTTGAGAAGTGGGGTTGTTGGATCCAATGAAGGAGGTTGGGGAACATCTGCTGTTAGGGAGAATCAGGTTTTGAAGGTGGGGATGGATAACATGAGGATGAGAGTGTCTGAGCTCGAGAAGGAATGCTCAAACATGAAGCAAGAGATCGAGAAGTTGGGACGAACAAAGGGTTCGAGTGCGTGGGGAAGCGTGTCGAAGAAGTTTGGGTTCAAGTTGAAGTCTCAAATGTGCAGTGCTCAAGAGGGTTCAGTGAGTAAGCAGCAATATAGTGGGAATAGGAAAGGAGAAAAAGTGAAGAACAGCATGGGAAAGCAGAACAAGAGTATTGATGCAATTTCAAATGAGTAGATAGAAAGACCTTTTCACCACTTTGCTTTATTTGTTTCACTCACAATGTCCTTAACTGCTAAAGAAGAGGTCCATTGCTTGCCCCTTTCTTGCATTTCTTTATATTATCCATTGCTTCCCCCCTACCATTTTATAAGGGGAAACACAAATCTCTATGTTGTTTGTTCCTATTTAGTTCCAAAGCACCTTCAAAAATGCATCTCTTCTGAATATACTACTTTTAGTACAAAAATATAAAACAAAAAATCAATTAGAGAATTTTTAAGTAAATTTTATTGTTAATATTATATTTATATTAGCGTAAAAATGTCAACATCTTTAAGCCAATAGAACCGAACCAAAAATTTTAAAAAGAAATGTCTTATCAATTTATCCATAACTCAACTAACTCAGATATATGTCTTCGAGAAGGGTCGTCACCCCACTAGTTAAACATTATTAAAAAAAAAAAAAAAATCCTATGTGGGAAGATAATAGCCGTACACTTGTATTTGATGATATGCTGTCATCACACTAAAAGTATGCATAAACAAAAGATGAGGAATACCCAGATTCAACCACACATGCTGGGCTCTTGTGCGATACTTTTCCGATTTGTTCAGCGCGTACTCGAATTTAATCCCACAATCATCAATATTCTGCACAATAGTGTTCCATAAGCAGAGGTAAAGTTTTGCAGACGGAGAATTAAGATAAACCTTGTCGGCGCCCATCAACAACTAAAGTACTATTCAATTACTCGCAAAAAAATATCTGACATCAGAACCTTCTGCCAAACATAAGACGACCTCAACTTTTCTACCGAGGGTGAGAAAGAATAATCAACCTATTATACCTTCACCTTGCCCCATTGATTGATGTACACAAGGATCTAAGAATACAGTACCCTACCCAGCAAAACATGCCTAAGGGTTCATCTACCCACAGGATCAACGTTGAACATATCAGTCAGCGTTTCTTTTGAACTAGTTCCCAGCTTCCTTTGGGATCTTGTCGCCCATTGCTATATCACTGGCTTCTGCATCATTGACTGTTTCCTCACTAGTGGTAGATTTTGATTTTATATTGATGTTTTCCCCGGATTTCGACAGATCAGAAGAATCCAGTTTATCATGATCACTGGTTGGTGATGGTCCTTGTCCAACTACAGCTTCTTCACCAGTCGATGCATCAGCGGATAGAGAGGGTTCTGCGGCATCTGGTTCAGTAACCTCTGAAACTACTGCAGCTTCCCCATTAGGAAGTGTTAAAGATGAACCTTCATCGTTTGAGGTCTCCCTCCATTCGACCCATTCAGGCGGCTTGTCAGTCTCGTTGGCTACAATTTCTTTTGAACTGCTTGTTACATTGCGTGAGTTATCTGATGTCCCTTGTGAATCTGGAGAAGGTGCTACAGTGTCATTCAAATCACCATCTTCACCAACAAAATCATCACCACCATCCTTGACGACTTCTCCAGTCTCTTTAATACCCGGGGTAGGAGAATCAAGCAAGCCAGTTGTACGATCATTTTCAATTAAATCATTCTCAAAAGCAAGCCAATTTGAATTCGTAAAGAGAGAGCCACTGAATACAACAGAAAAGCATCTTAATTAATTAACTGATGAGAGGTGGGGGGGGGGGGATATTCAGGGCATAGACAGATGTCACTAGAGAAAAAAAAAGCTCGACTTAACTTGATTAGATTGACCAACCTCATTTAATAATATACCAAATGCCTAGAATATAATGGCAAGAGAAATAAAAGAAAGACCATGTTATACAAAATAAATAAGTAAAATGAGTAGACATTATTTTGAAGGAGAAAATATTAAAACGAGGATAAAATTCTAATCAAGAAAGATTCTTGCGCTGACCTCAACCACCAAATATCAATCCCCAAGTGTTTTCACATACAGAGTTTTTTTTCCATTTCCACCATTAATGTCCGCCTTCGTTCTCCAACCCTTTCCTTTTCTCCATCACTTAAACCCGACCGTCTACCTCTCACTCTTCTTCTTTAATTTTTTAATGTTTATTTTTCCCTAGAACAAATATCAACCACTTGCTCATTTTTAATAAATGCATCCATAGAAGAATTGGTTACCATCACATTACACATCTTACTATGGAAATCACCTCATTTTCTCAAATGTAACACAATAGTTCTAGATTCTCGGTAACCATTTGTTAGAAAATAAAAATCATTGAAGGGATTGGATTTACCTACCTTTCCTGGTCATCGCCTAGACGCAGAGAGGATATAACAACTTCTGCAGATTCATCATCGAAATAAACATCCTGCAAAAGCTCTACATCAGGAAACACTTCTACATTCTAAAGACAATTTCCTACAAGACCATCCCAAAAGCAAAATATTAACATTAGCCAACCCAAAGGAAATATTTGGAAATATCTAAATCCCTTGCATGGTGAAGTATAAACCACCTCGAAGTCTATGAGGACATTCAAATATCATATCCACTAATCTTTGCGCACATATAGGCAATTGTAATTTACTTGCAGAAACTGAAACCTAAGATAGTCATAGTGTGACACCAAAACCATGCCTAGCAACCAATACATACGGCTTATTCTATCAAAGCCTTCCACCAGCTTATCATGACATGACAAGAACCTAATAGTCATTCACTATCATCTTTCACAAACAATGAAACAACGCAGTATATAGCAAGCAATTCTGATTAGAAGGAAAAAAAATAAACACAATTTTTTTTTTTAAAGGATAAACACGGCTCAAAATGCACTCATGCAAGTTCATTCAGAAGATTTAGCCTTCCCATTCAAAAAGTAAAGGTGAATTACTGTCATCATACCTCATCATCACGTTCAAGTGAGCCATGAGCCTGAAAAGTAAAAAAATAATTGGTGAACAAGAGATATAATCAAGAATATATTAAAGCCCATTTAATATGAGATTTGCATGGTTCAAGTACAAGCAAAAATCTTTTTTTTTTTTTTTTTTTTTTT